GTGGACTGGAACTGCATCCTGAGGCATTTGCGTTAGCAATACCCCTCACTCCCTGAGGACAGCCAGTTGAAATACTTCATCAACATTATTGAATGTTTCTATACTTCAAGTTACCCTGACTGATGCTCACTTGGGAGACTAGGCATTTGGGTGATTTTCTGCTTACATACTCAACATGGCATCCCTGACAGCACAAAAAGTGCTAGTATGAGTGTTTAGCAAAAGATGTGAATAGCTCCCCAAGTGGGTGGAGAATGAATGAGACACAAATATTTATGTTATGATGACAGTGTCTGAATCTCTAAAGTAAAAATGGACCCATAAATATTAGTCTCTTCTACCTTTCAACAAATACAACTTCCTGTCTTCTCTTTTAAGCTCATGCTGTGTATCAGAAACACTGCTCATGCAGTGACTCGCCCCTGGGGATGATTTGCTCCCCAGAGGAAATTGTCAACTTCTGAAGACCCTTTAGTTTGATGGACCCGACTGGGAATGCTGCTGGCATCTAGTGAGTAGAAGCCAGAGATGCATCTAAACGTCTTATAATGCACGCACACAAAAAAGTCCACAAAGAATTATCTGGCCTAAAGTGTCAATAGTACTAAGGTTGGGAAACTTGTCTTAGTAGAATAATATTTATTTTCTTTCCATTAATGCCTGTAGTGGATGCAATGCAATTTTTTTAATCTACTCAGGTTTTATTATATAAGATTCCTAAATTATAATGAAACAGACTTTCAAAATGTTTGTGATTGGACAGGTTTGTCCTATAGGAAGATTATGTCTTAACTTTTCAAGAGTCGTTCTTCATATTTCCTCCCCCCCACCCCTCAACAATATTGTCCAACTTTTCTGTCACTCTTGGGAAGTAGGCATCTGTTCTTTTTCCTGTTCTGCCTGCTTTTCTTCAGTACCCTCTATCACTTTGGTCTGAGGTCACTCAGCTTTAACTAACGGCAGATCTATTGAAATGAAAATGAGCATTTGCAACACTGCCAGAAGGCCAGAAACGATTACTGTAGTACCATAAGGTCTGTCGGAATTTTTGGATGCATTTTGGAAATTATGTGGGTGTTTGGTTGTGATTATTCCCTTTTAGTATTCCACCATGAGGAAAGGTTAACTCAGACTTTTATCACCACCACGCTTCTGCTGTCTGTCACTCAGGGAGCTGCAGCTTTGAGTGTTCGTCAATTCTGGCAAGTAGAAACCAATAGAGGTTCTTTTCAGCTTATAAACATTCTTTTCCTGTCTTGCTAAAAGCAGTCATCAATGCCAGCCTTTGCCTTTAAGGTTTGCCTGTAACATATGGGATCAGGGAGCTCTGGTGGCCTAGTGGTCCTGCAGTCTTAAAGGAATGCAGTTCAAATCCAGCAGCTGCTCTGTGAGAAAAGTATGAACATTCTCCTCCTGTGTAATTTTCTGCCTCAGAAACCCCTCTGGAGTGTATACAGCAACAACTGAACATGATCAGCTCTGAGATGCACAGCAAATGATTGAAAAGACCATGACCTGAATCAGGCACACTTTAGTCTTCATACTAACATCATTGTCAGAGAAAGATCCCTGACAGCGGATTTGCCCAGTGCAAATATCCTCTGTTCTCCTGACTGCTAGTACAGAGAGTGTTGATTGGGGATGCATCTGAGAGCTTGACAATAAATACATAGGATGACAGAAGCAGAATTGATGCTTTTGAGCTGTACTGCTGCAGAATAATACTGAATATCCCGTGGACTGCCAAAAGAAGAGATTCATCTTGAAAAAGTACAGCTAGATGCTCCCTGGAGGTAAGGATGATGAAGCTTCATCTCACATTCACGGATAGACCGTGGAAGAGAGGAAGATCCTTAACAAGATAGACTGACACACTGATAGCAATAATGGGCTCAAATGTGTCCGAGATGATGAGGATCCACAGGGTAGCATAGGGTTCGGATCAGTTGTTCATAGTATTGCTGTGAATTGGACAGTGCCTAACAACAACAAGGGTATGTGGTCACCACCTTTTCCACGTGCCCTCTGACATTTTCCCCTGCATACTGCTTTCATCTCTTTTATTACTGTGACAGCTTGAATTTTTTTTATGCAAGGCACATTTCCGTTGTGGCTCACTTTTACACTAATGGTAGTGTATTGAAAGCCTTTGACGATAAATAAGGAAGACAGAAGAAGAATCTATGCCTTTGAATCTTGGTGTTAGTGAAGGGTATTGAGAATCCCATGGACTGCCAAAAGAACAGATTAATCTGTCTTCAGTGAAGCACAACCAGAGTACTCCTTAAATGCAAGCATGGGGAAACGACATCTCACAAACCTGGGGCATATTTTCAGGAGGAATTGGTCCTTGGAGAGAGGCATCACTCCAGGAAAGGTAGGAAGTTGGTAGACGAGAGGAAGAACTTCAACAGAATGAACTGATGCAGTGAGCACCACAGTGAGCATGAGCATGGCAGGTTGTCAGGATGGTACAAGATAGCGCAATGGCCAGAGCTGCTGTTCAGAGGGTCCCTATGAGTTATAGTTGATGGCATCCAATGACAACAATTTAAAGACTACATGGCACATCCAGAATTGGCAGGGATGTAGAAGTCCAGCTTGGAAAAGGGCATAGCTGTGGCAGTTTCCCTGGTCATATTGCTGAGGAGAAGCTCTGTTCATTTGGGGACAGCAGCCTTCTGAAGAGTTCAGAGAGCAAGCCTAAGAGCTGGCTACTTGCTCTCTGCCTTACCAGGTGAGGTGAGACAGAATCTGGAGTCAGTCTTTTATAATGTAGAGATTAGTAGTGTGACCAGAAAAGTCGAGATGCTGTTAAATGGAGAGAATGCACCCACGATGGACTGAAGAGTGAATTCAGTTTTTTATCCAACTAGAGCTGTTTGAATTCTCCTTACTCCCCACATTCCTGCTCCTAGATCCTCTGCCCTCGCCCTAATGAAAGTGACTCTGGGGAGCACTCCCTTTCACTCAGAGGGAGCTCTAATAGCGTAGTCTGTAGGGAACCTCTGGTGGTTTGAATCCACCAGGAACTTGGGAGAAAGATGAGCAGTCTCTTCCATGTGATTTACATTTTCTGAAGACCCGCTGGAGGGTCAGCTCTGAGTTACAATTTGCAGGCAGTGAGTGAGCACACATTTCACCGATGCACCTGTGGTCAGGTCAGAAAGAGCTTTGATGGTCTCTGTGTCAGGACAGTTACAGGAGAGATGAGTTTCTAACATCTAGGTTTGAAACGTTAGAGCAAAATTTCTCAGTTCAAAACTGTTGGGGCAACCCTCAGAAACAGAGTTCAGTACTACCGCAAGGGGAACTTTGATTTTCGAGAGCCCCATTACAAATGCAGATGTATTATGTATTGTATTTGGGGGAGGGGGTTTATAGGGAGAACACTTTAAATGTCTTATGTATATTTTTATAGTTATTTGAAGGAAGCGGAATGATTTGTAAGATCTCAAAGCAGGACTTTTTAGCAAGCAAATTCTTTTTGTAATGAGGTGACATAATTGTGTGTTTTTTCTACTCAATTAAAAAAAAAATTCCAAAACAACCTGTTTCTCACTTAACACGCTTAGATTCTAAAGACCAGGCCTTAATGCCAGAATTGCCATTATGTCAAAATGAGGATGATCACATCAGAACACAAAATAAGAGATAGCCACATCATTATGTAACTACTGAAGGGTTGACACACCGTGCACATAACCTTCACCTTCACTTCACAGGATTACTCTTGCTGTGCACCTTCGTATTCCATATTTAGTGACATTAATATGCCATACATCATTATGTAACAGCCAGACCACTGAAGACTTGATACACCCTGCACATAATCTTAACTTTCACTTCACAGATTACTCTTGCCATGTACTTTGGTATTCTTTTTTTTTTTATTAAATTTTATTAATTTTAATGAACATTTACAGAGATTTTGGGTTTCCATTCATTCATTGTTGCACTATTTTCTCTTCCCTCCTCCCCAGTTCGTTCCTCTTTTTCCCCCCTTGAAAGTCTGTTTTAATTGTCCCATTGCCACAGTGCTTGTCAAAGCCAGTTCTGATTAATCTCCTTTGTCAGTGTGTCCTTTGCCATTCCCTAGCTCTCCTCCCTGAGAGAGACTTCACCCTGATTCATAAGGAAAAGGGGATGGCATATTCTCTTAGCTACTTCCTGCTGAAAAGGGATGCTGTAGGTTTCAGGGTGAAGATCTTCTCCCACTACTCTAAAGGGGCACTTCAGTATTAAGTAACTAACTCATTAAACATTTTAGAGATTATTAGAAGAAAGCATTGAAAGCCTTTCAAACCCACTGAGATTTTGTATTTGACTGTCAACCATTTCTTTCTAGTATTGGATAGTGTCCTAGATATGCAATCTTATGTTGTTCTGTGCTGTAGAATTGACACATAGCTGGCCCTCCAGTGGATTTTCAGAGGCAATTAATTGAATGGGAAGAGATTTCCTATGGAGCAGCTAGTGAATTTGAACCATGTTCCTTTGGGTTAGTAGTGCAACTCCTTACCACCAGAGCTCCCATTATTTCTGCCCTTTTTTTTTGAGCTTGATAAGGAAATCTTACTGAAACCTGCATTTAATGATAAAAGTAATTGTAGTTCAACTACTAAGTATATCAATTCTCTTGTTATGAGTTATTTTGAGTAACTAGCTTTTCTATATCTGTGGAAAAAGATTCTGATCTTCAAATAAAGGTAACCAAGGTCCTTTATTATTTGAAGAGCTGCTTACTCTTGACTACTTAACTTTGTGATTCTTTCTAAATAATACGACTGAGCATCAAGTTCTGTGCCTTCATTTCACTTCTATTTTGTAACGTTGACAGTACATAAATACTGAAACCTAGTGAAAAAAAAAGCCTTAAAAATGCTTTGGGTAATGGAGAAGTTTAAAGTATGACAGGTTTTATTTTAAAGACATTTTCAATGTGTCCATAATGTAAGATTTATTACGAATTGAAATTTTTTCCCCCCCCACTATTTCAGGCCAGAGCCTCAACAGAAAGCTCCCTTAGTTCCTCCTCCACCACCACCGCCACCGCCACCACCGCTGCCAGACCCCACTCCCCCAGAGCCGGAGGAGGAGATCCTGGGCTCCGATGATGAAGAGCAAGAGGACCCTGCGGACTACTGCAAAGGTTGGGGGGAGGAAACAGTTGGAGTTAATTATATAAGCTGTTTGGTCTTTAGTAAATTAGCCTCCATGTGCCAGTATCAGTTAAAATGTTTAGACCAGCTAATAATAGAATGTTGCCAGAAACTGAGACAGACAGACAAGAGTTAGAAAAATAGAAGAGATAGAAATTATACACACATTTACATCCATACTCGAGGCATTTTTAAAAGGATTTAAACCTGTTGATTGAATTAAATATATCATAAAAAAAGACAATTAAAGATAAAACATAATAAGCTGTTTAAGAAGAGCACAGGGAATAGAAGGTACCAGGCTCTTGAGAGGAGCTAATTATAACTGTGGTACAATGTGTTTGGCTTTAAGTTTTCTTGATGCTAGAGCTGAAAGGGAAGCATTCCTTTCTCTGAATAGCATTGAATTACATAGTGTTCATTGTGGAAAGAAAGTGTGCACATTTGTTTACAGAGACAGACGTTTTCCTGGGATTGTACTCCCCCAGTAGGACCTTCTGTGGGTCCTGCCATTGTGTGACATAGTAGATTATGTGTTTGGCTATGATCTCACAGAAGACATAGAAACTATTCAAATGGAATGTTTTTGTATTGGTGCTTTGTAGAGTCCAAGAGCGTGCATTTAGTGTTAACTCCTCAAGTGTAGGCTTGTTGTGTGAGGATTGTTGAGAACAGTGTGGTCCAGACAGCAGACTTGAACTTGTTGTTGTTAGTTGCCCTTGAGTTGCTGCAAGCTCATGGTGACCCTGTTGTGCAGAGTAGAACTTCTTCATAGGCTTTTCAAGGATGTGATCTTAAGAGAGCAGATTGCCTGTTTTAGGATGTAAATTATTAAATACGTACTTGCTTCTGTAACAGCGTAGTAATTAAATCATCTATCTAACGGCTGTAGATCATTTATATGTTGGTTAAGGAGCATAATATCTACCAGATAAGAGATCAAGAAAGTATTCTGCTTTGAAAGTTAGAGTACCTTTTATTTTAATCTAGCGGTGAGAACTGACACAGTCTCAGTATTTTCGTTTGAAAAGGGTACAGTGATCTCTTCAGCATTTGTGTGAGCAGCGGTCTGCACTGCTGGAAGGGAAAACGGGGCGGGGGCGGGGATGCATTCGGTTTGGAAAGGTGAAAGAAGATGTGCTTCATCCTGCCTTTCCTCCTGTGTTCTTCAGCTTGGAATTACTGAAGAGAATATGTTAAAGCACTGTCTGTTTGCTTTGCTCTGAGGCCAGAACATCAAGTCTCTTATATTCTCAAAATATGAGAATTTAAGGATAATATTCAAAAGCTTTTCTCTTCGATCAGTAGATTCCACCATTACGGGATCGGAAGCATCTACCTCCCACCTGGCTCTCTGGGAATATAGGTCAGGACATATAACCAGTGCATTAATTTCTTTAACACGTTTGAAACCAGCACAGTAAGCACTCCAACACCAAATGTGAGCCGTGAATAAGAGAGTTCAGAGTCAGGGTTGATTCTAGGTAATCTTTACTGAACCCTGAACCCAGCATAGAACATTAAAGACAGCCTCATAATGGTATATTATAGATGGTATGGTTCTCATTCTTACTTATCACATTTTTACCCATAAATTTTGTAAACAGTTTACACTGATAGTCAATGAAACATGTTTCAGATATCTTATTTTGTAAAATTTGTGGTGTACATCCTATCAGTCCATCTCAGAGGAAAGGATATTAAGTGGGTTCAAAGAGTTAAAGAAATTGATTGGTTAAATCCAGGAAAAGAGCAGTGGCCTTGATACCCTCCCATATCCCTAACTACAGCTATGGAAAGTGCAGCCAGAGTGCTCCTTAAAGCAAAGATGGAAAAGCTTCTCTCCTACTTTGGATATGTTGCTAGGAGAGGCTATTCCTTGGAGAGGGACATTATGCTTGGAAAGATAGAAAGTTAGCAAAAGAGAGGAAGATCCCTAATGAAAGAAATTGACACAGTGACCCCAGCAAAGAACTCAAGTATTTAATGTTATATAAAGGAGGGAATTGCACCCCTTTCTTTTGAATGAACCTCAAGAGAGGTACAGAAAGAAAGATCTACTCATCAGTTTAATCCAGTATCTGCTGAAGAATGTTTTTACATTTGTAATTCCATTTGCTGACACTGAGACAGGTTTCCATTTTCCTCCATACAAGTACTTACTTGAACAACTTCTCTATATGTAATGAGTCATCTTCACAGCCACTGCTGTTCTTATATCCTGTTCCCTTCCCTCCTCACCTACCTTGTGCTACAACATCCATTGTCTCTTAATTTCTCCTTATTTATGGCTTTTAGAATGAATTAATTAGGAAGAGAAAAGGGGAAGGATGGTTCTCACAGTCTACCAATAGCACTTGCTATATAGAACCCAGAACACTTGATTGTGATTATGAGAAACCTATGCTTGGACCAGGAGGCCATCGTCAGAACAAGGAAACACTGCGTGGTTCAAAATTGGAAAGAGTGTGCACCAAGGATGTGTCCTATCTTCATAACTTTCAATATTTTCGTGGAACAGATTATCCAGAAGGCTGGACTCTATGAGGAGAAACATGGCATCAGGATTGGAGGTAGACTCATCAGCAATCTGCATTATGCAGATGACACAACCCTGCTTGCTGAAACTGAGGAGGACCTGAAGGGCTTGCCACAGAGGATCAAGGACCACAGCCTTCAATATGGATTGAAACTCAACATCAAGAAAACAAAGATTCTCACCATGGGGCCGATTGGCAGCATCATGATAAGATGGTGAAGAGATTCACCATAACAGCTTCAGTTTGCTTGTTATAGATTCATCTATAACAGTTTTAGTTTGCTTAGATCTACAGTCATCATTCTTGGTACCAGCAGCCAGGAAATTTTCTAGACAAATTGCATTGGAAAAGTTTATTGTCAGAGACCTCTACAAAGTACTGAAGAACAGGGATGTCAGTCTGGAGACTGTGGTGCACCTGATACAGGCCATGGTCTTTGCAATTACTTGGTATGCATCAGAAAGCTGGATAATGACTAAGAATGATAAAAGGAGAATTGATGCCTTTGAGCTGTGGTGCTAGAGGAGTATTGAATATACCATGGATGGCTAGGAGAACAAACATACTGGAGAGGGTGAAGCCAGGCTGCTCCTTGGAGGCAAGGATTCTGAAGCTACATCTGACGTAACTTTGGGCATGTTGTAAGGAGAGATCAGTGCTTGGAGAGGGGCATCATGTTTGGGAAAGTGTAGAGACAGTTCAGGAGAGGAAGACCCAGGATGAGATGGGTTGATTTATTAGTGTCTGGGGAAATGAGAGTAGGTGTGTTAGAGACAGCAAGATTGGCACAGGATAGATCAGGGTTTAAGGCTGTTGTACATGGGGTCGTTATGAGTCTCAAGTGACTTGACATAAAACAACAATAATAACAATATAGACTCATGTGACTTTCTAAGAGTCAGAGTAGAAGTGATTTTTTTTTAAGGGAAAAACATTTCATTAACCCACCTCCATGCAATTAACATAGCCTTACACCACATCAATGATGGGAGCAGCTCCAGTCCTGGTTTTTTGCAGCATTTCCTCTTGTCTGCTCATTGGCCCAGGTCCATCATTTGTCAAGGTTAACAGATGGGCAGAAGCTCTGATTCCTCTTCAGGTGGAAACATCTCATACCAGCCTTTCCAAAATAACCTGGATGGTATTTGTCAACGTTGATCCTGTGGTGATGCAAGCCCCCAGCGTTACCTCGACCTCCAGGGTGCTTCCCATGCTTCCCAATGGGCCGTGGCTCACGTGGCCCCTAAGTTTCCGGGTCTTCCTCGTCTTGGCTGCATTTTGGTTTCCTACACGAAAAAGAGAGTTTTTTGTTTTTCGTTTTTTGTTGTTGTTGTTTTTTTAAGTTGACCACCGGGCTTTTGCCAGAGATACTGTAGGTTTATGCACATCTCTTGCCTTTTGGTTAGCAGCTGTGGGTGTTGGCGATTTGCACCACTCAAATTCCCTTACAAACTAGAAGTGTGTTTTGCTTAGTCTGGTGAATAAGCGCTGGGGTAATGTATGCCACCTTAAAATGTGAGCCCTGAAGTAATGCATGCTCATCTTAAAAAATTACTTTGTGTCTGGAAAACCTCTTCCTGTGGGAACACTTTAGTGTTCGATGCAAGGTTTTGAAAGTATGACCTTTGTACCATCGGTGTCAGAACTACTAGGGGTGACCAGTACATTAATCACCTGATAAGCTCTCCCGAGTTTGGCTTCTTAAAAGTAAGAGCCAGACCTCTGCATTGAACACATTTGTCACGTGGTTTTTCTTGACATGGTGTATGAGGTCTGCTCAGCTAAGGCTTATACAATTCCTTTAAATGTGTTAAAGCCACAAGTAAGTGAAGTAAGTCTTTATACTGTTTGTGACTTTGAACCCCTCTGTTCCAGCGTTATTCCAGAACTGCATAGCACACGTCTGCTGTGGTGGCCATGTAAATGCCTCCTCAGGGCACTTGTAGCTCCTGAATAATTTGCATAAGTTAGCCTCTTGCAGTTCCATCTCTCTTGTATTTTTTAATGCAGGCATGAGTTCCACCGCAGTCATGGTCTTAGTTGGTACTAAAATGCCTATGTCATTTCCTTTGAAATTGTCTCTGAACCTCTGATCACGAAAAGAGGTGCTTGTAGGAGGTTCAGTTTAGTCTGCAAGTATTACCTGCAGGATAGATAGGAAGAAAAGTTTGTACAATAAGTAAGTGAAAAAAAAAAAAGTAAGTC